GTCCTGCACAACTTGACGAGGCAATCATTACAAGTGTAGTAAAGAATTCGTACAAGTATTTCAGCTACAAAGTAAGCAAAACATCAAATCTCGAGATCAATGTAATCGATTTAACTGGCAGCACGCTTGTTTACGTCTCTCGCACCAATCCTCACCCTTATCAGTACGACTATGACATTTCCTTCGACTTTTCGCAGCAAAAGAACAAACTCATCGTTGTTTCAGCGCGCACGCCTGTACCAAATACAAAGGTGAAACGGTCAGCCAAAGACGAGCACACACAACAAATCTATGTGTCGGTAACTTCCCACACCAACTTGGCTTCCTTCATAATTAAAGGCGATGAATGTAATCCCTTGAAATGTACGGAGGGAACAAATGAAATGCCTATATATACAACTCAACCTACCACACGTACAACACCGACTGATCATGGGAGTATTGTTATCCCTGCAAATATCATGGTGGCAAGTTTTGGAATGTTGACCATGCTTTTTCAAATATATTGGGTTTGAACCGATTAATTTGTCCCTTAAAATACAAACGCGGGCATAGCTATTTTCATATTTCTTAGTTGTAAGCATTATATAATTAATGATCATTGCACGTATGTTAATTTTAAGAATTTCTTACATTTTTTCTTTCAGACATGTAGATTTTTTGCGCTCTTATAATCATTCTATTTTGAGATGTGATTCCAGTATATATATATATATATATATATATATATATATATATATATATATATATATATATATATATATATATATATATATATATATATATATATATATATATATATATATATATATATATATATATATATATATATATATATATATATATAATATATATAATATAGCCTTAATAAGGCTAATTTATCTGATGAGTGCCACATCTTGTGGTACGAAACTAATAGTAATAAAGATGCCTAGTGGAATTTGTTGAGTCGTTGCACTTATTTTATTTAATTATGCTCTGGATATCCATTGAGCACTCTGCCAAATGTTTTTGTAAACAACGAAACCTAATTAGATATATATATAGACATCAAAGGTAACTATTTGAGACATCAAAGGTAACTATTAATAGTGGTTACTTTCATCCTGCTCATCAGCACTACACTGATGAGGCCGAAACGGTACCGTCTGTAGTTATACATATATACATATATATATATATATATATATATATATATATATATATATATATATATATATATATATATATATATATATATATATATATATATATATATACACATATATATATATATACATATATATATATATATAACTATAAATAAGAGTTACTTTCATCCTGCTCATCAGCACTACACTGATGAGGCCCATTAGGCCGAAACGGTATTTTCTTTCTCTATTATTTTCTTGAACGAAAGAACTCTTCAAGCTGTAGTGTAACTTATTTTTCAGTTTCTTGTTTTCATGGTTTGTTCCCGAGATATTTTAATTTGATTGATAAGTAAATGAGTGTGAATATGTCCGCTACTTTATGACGTCACGTTGGTTGCAAGCTCAACTTACACTGGTTATAATTCTATGAACTCTAAAAACTGTAGATATCTGTTCACGTTTTTCTACAGTTATTAATCACATTTACCAGTGAGTGAAGTTTGAAATTATCATCTTGGATGATAGCAGTGATATTCAACCATTTTGAAGAGCTTGCAACCAACATGACGTCATAAATTAGCGAACATATTCACACTCATTTACATATCAAACAAATTGAAATATCTCGGGAACAAAACATAAAAACAAGAAACTGAAAAATAAGTTACACTACAGCTTAAAGAGTTCTTTCATTTAAGAAAATAAGAAATTTTATGTCATATGCACTTTAAAGAAATGACAAAAATATACAATTGTAAATATATACAATTGTGAATGTTTGCATGTCCAAACTTTATAAAAAATTCTCTTAAATCACGACCCATAGCCTATACTCAATACCTACTACCTATATGTGCCCACGAAATAAAAAAATGTTCAAGAGCCTTGAACGGCAGAAAAAAATCGAGCAGCATTGGGAGGTTTAAAAAGTTATATTGGGCTCAATGAAAATCCACCTCATCAAATTGTCCGCCCCTAATGCATATTATTATATGGCTTTTCAAAATTCTCTATTCTGATTGGTTGACAAGCGCTCCGTAAAAACCCATATCCGGACCGTGGTCCGTATTTTCCGTATGTGGACCGGTGTCCCGGATGTCGTTTATCTGGCGGGAAATTTTTGCTTTGCAAACAGAAAAAAAAATTACTTTTCAAAATTTCCAATTGTGCTTTACAGATAAAAATTTCAAATAACCAAATTGTTTTTGATTGAGCATGCATGCCTACGGTATATATTGTTACCCAGTGAAACTGACGATAGCCGATTTAATTCGCGCGAAAAGCATATGCTCACAGACTCAGTTCAGCCATATAATAAACCGATTATTGACCTCGCTTGTTCGGTCTGTACTGTGATCCATACCATACCATACTACATACCATAAAAAACCTCGGTCTGATATTTCACACCTTACGCTCGGTCAATAACCCTTTAATATTTCTAAAATTCATATATAGTATGGTCGTCGCATGCAAATCGGCCATTTCTTCGTGTGAACCTCTTAGGTTTATAATTAAAACGGGGATTATTTTCATTATAAAACAACAAGTCAGCACTATTTAAAGTACGAAAATGTCAGCAAGTGAAAATGTCATTTAACTCTGCCTAACAGAAGCTCCAAAACTAAGGCGCTTTTTTACAATATTTCCAAACGTTTCCCGAGAAAGACGCCGTATAGCCATCATACATACGTAATGAATCATTTGAATGCTGATTAAAAAATTCATATTCGAACAGGTGAAAACATATTCATTTCACAGATCTATGGCTGGTATACTTTAATTTAGGGTATTATAATTAGTTGCGGTAGCAATCATGCGTTTATAAAATGCTCCGCGGTCCGCTGTCCGCGGTCCGCTGTCCGCGGTCCGCCGTCCGCGGACCGCCGTCCGCGGACCGCCGTCCGCCGTCCGCGGTCCGCCGTCCGCGGTCCGCCGTCCGTCCGCCTTTTATCTACACCCGAGTCTGAACCTCATGCCGTGCCGACTGGGCGGCGTGGGCGCATTTTCATTGGGGGAGGGGATACCAGCAATGTCCAATCAGAAAGCGTGTTTGTGTTGACGTATTGCTACCAATTATGCATGTGTAAGATTGAAGAGTATAAATTATCAAGCAGATTAACAGAAGGTTACAAAAGGTTGGTTTCGAGGCTTCTGGTAGCCTGTCCACAGACCGTTTCTCTCGACGGCTTCGTTCGACCTTTTTGTCGGACGTCAAGTTAACTAGACTGGGTAAAGGAAGCATACAGCATTTCATTTCTGCATGCTGTTGTAACTGTAAGTATATACAAGTTTCAAAAGGAATTGAAAAGCTTAGGTATGTTAATGCCTGGGTCTGCCCACGCTTGGATAATGTCTTGTGCGCGTGTTGCACGCGCGATCTCTCAGTAATGCGTCTGTTAGAATATGCGCCCCCCTGTGTGGGTATTTTAGTAAATTCGGGCGTTTGCTTCAAATCAAAATATAGTATATATGAGCGACAGGATTATTTTGGAATATACAATGCAAAAAAGTCGGTATACTATTCAGTTTTTATGTAATAATTGGCTCTTTGTATAGCAATAAGTATTGTATCATTTGCGACAGCTGACCTTTGAACTGCTGATAAATAAAAGCTTCTTATAGTACGCTATCTTGCGATTATTCAGTATTAATTGTTGATTGTTTCTTATTTTCAATGAAAAATTGCTTGTGAATTATGAATTAATTATAGCACGTATAGTTTAGTCGGTCTTTTCCACCATGGCATGCTTCCCTTCAAGCATTAACTATGCTTCAAGATATCGGCTTGAATGCGCAATGAATGTTGTTATTGGAAATATAATATCCCTTACAATAAGCGCCAGACTGTTTCATTATGGCGCGTGAAATTTATCACGCGAAAAACGCGTTCGACTTGCAGCAGGGTAATTTGACGAAATCTTGCTATTTTTATTAGCTAAAAACATTAACAAGGGAACAAAGTTTCTTGCGTTAATTTGGAAATCGAACATTTATTTGTAGATAACATTTAATGACGCAATTAACATTCGTTTGATGCCGATCGTCGTAATATAGCCGCATAAAATAATGAAACGAAGCCTAAATGTAAACTTTCCAGATTTATTCAATAAACAGTGATATTATGTGTGAATGATTATCGCAATTCTGCGTCCTCTCAGTCACGAATTATACTGCTGCAGAGCCTCTGAATAAAACGTATCATTTTTTGTGTTGTTTTTCGAAATATACATCACGTGATCGTTGCCATGACAACGAAAAGTAGGTCAACATTTAGAATCTCCTTTAATAAATCATATAAGTCTTGAATGGTAATAATCAAGGCCATACTTATTTTTTTATGATTTTTTGTCTATTTTTGCTAAATACACAAACTGAGATCCAGGCCCATACCTAGGCTGAGAGTATATATTCATGTAATAAATGATGTTTTATCAACTTATAGCCATGGGGCGCAACGTTGCATGTCGTGAGTTGCAAGACAGCTGTGCCTGCACTGCAGTCAATATTAATAAGTTCCTAATTGCAAATTATTATTAGATGGACTACTTTATTAACGGTTACCATAGTGAGTTGATGTTCACCGACATTTTAGGTACCTTCTTTTGCAATGGGGAAAAGTTTCTCTTATAAACGTACGAGGTAGAATATAACAGCAATAATCAATAAATGCATGCATGAATGGTTGGCGTCTTTCTAGCAGTTGATACTGACTTGATCAGTTCAGCGTATATAGTTGCATGTCATACAGGTATAGCACGGATAAAATCGTGTCCGAAATATATACTGTATATAGTTTACTGCAATAAAAAACTATTGAAAATTATAATTTTCATAGGATGCTTTTTGCCAGTTTAATTAAAAAGCTTTGTTTGTCAGTCGTCAGTCGTCTTTGACATTGTGTTTTACCGCGGTCGGTATATTTATTTTATCGCGCCCGGCGATAGGCTAGTTATAGATGTCTGTAGAACTGGAATATCCGCGTGTACGGAAAACTGTATATGTTAGTAAAGCATTTGAGCTATACTATGTCATTTTCGCCGTAATGCAATAAAATTGAAAAAATATATGATTAGTATATATTTTGTCAATATTATGCATGGATATATATTTAACTTGAAACAAATGATACTGAGCGAATTAGCGATATTAATTTTATTTTATTACAACGACGTTTCGATGCTTAATTCTTGCATCATTTTTAAGTCAAAGATATAAGAATTATTCGTGTTTAGCTTTAATTATAACGGTCCGCGTTATAATAAAATAACACTAATATCGCTATCATTTGTTTCAAAGTTAATTTCACAAGAGATTCAGTTAATTATAATAAAGGATATATATTTGCCATTGAATTAAAACATTTTTAGAATTCCGTTCACTGCATGCGTGTTCATCATGGAAAAGGTCTTGCTGGTAGAGTGACTTATTCTGGAACTTATTGCACAATTAATATTAGACAGATTTAGATCGAGGACGCGGACGTCAAAGACGACGTGAAAATGGCGTCAAAATGGCGTGGCATACCCATACGGTGATTGCTAGATAGTATATGTACTTCAAAATAAGGTTTCCGTTTTTATAACGTAGAAAAAACTATCCTAACGCAAAACTAAACCCTAATACTAACCCTAACCTAACCCTATTAACTAACTTATTTTAAAAATTGATATAAAAACGGAAACCTTATTTTGAAGTATACTATCTAGCAATTGCGTATCCATACATGGGAGGGGTTTGTTTTAAAAAGGCAATTGCTAGATAGTATACTTCAAAATAAGGTTTCCGGTTTAAAAGTCTTCTTTCCACTCGTGTTGATATAACTGTATATCAACACGGAAAATGTTTTGTATTTGTCAATTATGATTATATATGTTCAGTATCATGTTATGACAGTTATATATCAATAAGATCGAAGGTCAGGACAACGGAACAGAAGTTCCCAATAAGTCCCACCAAGACAACACAAATACAGACGTACATAAAAAACTATTTACAACAGTAAAAATTAATCTCGATTGAAGAATGCTCGAATGGTTAATTTATTGAAACTCAGTTTGTGACTAATTTATATGAAAAAAAATGTATCAAGAGTTGTAACGAAAACTGAGCATATTAAGCATATAACAGATTAGTATAATTACATAGGTACGTGATTATTGAAAATTCTCCGCGCTGATTGGTTGCCGTTGAGGTGATTATTACGCGATAATCACCTAAGCGATTTTCAAAATGGCGGCCGAAGCCTTTTTGTCAATTAAATGACGAAGAAATGTGTATTTTCTTATTTTTTCCCAAATAATCACCTATGAAATTATACTAAAACAATTATTCACTAAAACAATTATTCACCGATAATCACCTCGCCTTCGGCGAATAATTGTTAATTAACCCATCGATCATGCTACGAGCATCTAGGTATATAAATACGAGCAGCAGTTTATTTGCAGTGATCTACAATTACTGCATTGTGTTTTCCAAGTTCTACACCTATCTGCATCAAATACTGTAATCAGTTTATTAAAGTAATATTCATATAGTTTAGCTTTAAGGACGTATATGGAAGAAGAAGATTTAATATCACTAGGCAAGCTGTTAATTCCATAGATACAAAATTCTATTGAAGTACGAGTTCCTGAAAAGAGTTGTTCTGCATAGATTTGGACGCAGAAAGTCACCAGTACTGCATGAACAGGTCGACCGATGACAAGGTCTTTCGATGTACTTATCAATGTCAAGATCATACAGCCCCGCTTTGCATTTATAATAGAACACAATGTCCTTTATTTCAAGCCAATATGAGATAGGAATCAAGTTTAATTTCTTTAAGCGATCCGAGTAAGACGACTCGTAGTCTTGCAGAATAACTTTCGTGGCGCGACGTTGAACACACTCAACTTTCAAGACGTAGCAGATCAGATATACAAAAGGTATACATCGGATATACAGGTATATAAAAAAAGAGGAGTCGTCCTAAATATCCTTATTTCTATCGACTACTAAAATAAACTACCATAGTTTCGTTTTGGGCTCAATTTAAAGCTTGTTTTTTCATCTTTCGAATGAAGGGTTTCTTGAAAATTTTGCCGGAACGAAGGCTAATCGCAATAAAAAGAATTTAGTAGAAGCGCTCGTTTTTAGATGCTTCAAAATATTGATCTTCGAAGTCCCTTGGGGATTTAATTAAAGGTAGTTTGCTAAAATTTAGAATGTTGTTGTTTAAAACTTTACAATCACCATTCATAATGCCAAAGCTAACCGCAATTCCGGAAAGAACATTCATTGTTGAAAAGTATTTCGAAACAAAAAGCGTTGTTGCAGTGTTAAGACAATTTCAAATAGCTTTTCCAGGACGTAATCTTCATCGAGCGTTTGGCGTAATGTCAACAAATACCGGCTGCATATGCATTGAATGGAAGAACCACCCCATAAAATTTAAATCGAAATAAAGGAAACTCGGGAAGAGGACTTGTCTTGGATATGAGACAAAGAACGAACTTGTGTGAACTTAGAAATGGAGGCCACGTTGAGTAAATGTGTACTTCCAACTTATTTTTTGGACAACTACGTTTTTTAATTTTCCAATTGCACTTGATATTTGGTAGAGGACAAAAAGTTAGTTAATAGGTTCTTTAACATTTTTCGTTTTTCTCTTTTCATTCGCGAGATATGAGGCTCTAAACCTTGAAAAATTGGCTTTTAGCGAAAAATTGTCGCGCCCGAGAAAAAAACGGAAAAGGGTCTGGGGCGAGAGTAGAATAGTCACAGCTATATTCCCCTTAGTCAGCATTTTTTTGCAGAGCTCTTACCCCTTGGAATTAGTTTCCAGGGCTTTCGTTAGGGCTGTTACGCGCGCATGTCAACCGGAAGAAGTTGATTGAAGGGAAGTAATTGTAATTGGTTGAGAAAAACCAATCAAAAAGTATGTATAGATATAAGAGTTGTTATGATTGGTTTGAAAG